TTGGGAAAATTCTGATAGGAAAGAGTGCAAGAGCCAGCGGGGATGGAGGGCACCAAGGAAATAAAGCCTTCTAGACACAGGAGGCCTGACATACATGGAAATGTGCACAGGGCCTAAAGGGGTCTCTACCAGATGGGATTCCAGAACTGAGAGAGAATGTGGACAAAATTGACCATTCCTAAACCAGGAGCTATTTCCAATTGAAAATCACTCACAAATGAAAATTTGGCTTTCTCCAACAGTCTCACATGTATACAAATCACACTTAAGGTCAGACCCCACACCCAGCAGTGGGCAACACAAAACAAGCTCAGTGGAATCTTTGGAATGTCTTTGTCTCATAATGCTTTGTCAATATTATTTTTTTATCCTTATAAGACGTGTGTGTGTGTGTGTGTGTGTGTGTGTGTGTGTGTAGGCTTCTGGGTTTGTGTTTCATGGGATTCGTGTGTGTACAAACATGTGTGTCTCAGCATCTATATGTGTTGAATGTGCTTTTTCTTTGGCTCTTTGGCTTCAGTTTAATTTTGTTGGTTTCATCCTATTCCAGTTTATTTTATCTATTTTATTATTATTTAGATGCCTATTTGATTTTTAACAAGAGACAAAAAAAATGTATGGATTCAGATGAGAGGAGAGATCCTGGGAGGAGTTGGGGGAGAGGAAGCTGTAATCAGAATGCATTGTCTGAAAAAAATCTATTTTCAAAAAATAAAAATAGAAAAAGAAAAGGTGTGACCAAAACAGCAGGCATATAAGAGAAAAAAAATGAAATGGAAAACCAAAGAGTTCCACCTGAGTTCCTGTTGATTTCTTCAACGACACATCCATCATTTCAAATGTGTTCTTGTCCATCTCCATGACTCTGACAATTTTATGTAGTTTATTTTGCTATTAATTTAACATTAAAGAGATCAATACATCACACAATTAGACTTAAAGACAGAAGTCAGATATTATTTCAAATGATGTAGAAAGGGCTTTTAATAGAATCCAATAGCTCTTTATGATAAAAGCCTTGAAGAAACTAAGAATAGAAGAAGCACATATTAACACAATAAAAGATGCATATGACAAACTTAGATCTAGTAAGGAAAACTTCAAGGCATTTCACCTAAAACCAAGAATGAGACAAGAAAATCCATTTCCTCTGTTCTTATTTAATATGGTGCTTGAAGTCTTAGCTAGAGCAGCAAGACAAGAGAAAAAGATAAAAGGGATACAAAGAGGAAAGGAAGAAGTCACAGTATCCCTGTTTGCAAATGATATGATCATCTGAATAACAAACCCTTAGGACTTATCAGGAAATTCTTAAAACTTTCAACAAAGTAGCAATTTACAAAATCAACATATAAAAACCAGTAGCTTTCCAATATACTATTAAAAATAACACTGACACCTTAGGACAATGATCCCATTTACAACAGTTTCAAATAATTCCTACGAATAAACCTATCAAGAAAGTGAAGACACCTACAACAGAAATTTTACAGCACTGAAGAGAAGACAGAGCTGTCACCAGAGACAGAAAGGTGTCCCATGCTTACAATGAAGAATCAATATTGTAAAAATGGCAGGGACCAAACATAATCTACAGATTTAATGGAAGGCCAATCAAAATGCCAATGACATTCTTCAGAGAGATAGAACAAATAATCCTAATTCTAAGCAAGAAGAACAACAGGGAAGAATCATGCTATCAGATTGCAAGTCCTAGTATGGAGTCAAAGTAATAAAACCAGCATAGCATGGCTACTAAGACCGGCAAATGATCAGTAAAACAGAACAGGACCCAGAAATAAACCCACACAGCCCCAGCTACTTGACTTTTGATAAAGATAAAACAAAAACAAACTTTGGAGAAAAAGAAAGTCTCTTTTACAAATAGTGCTGGGAAACTAAACATCTTCATCCTCATATAGAAAAATAAAATTAGAGCCTTGTGTCTCATCCTTTATAAAACCTATTGAAAATGGATCAAAGACTTTAATGGGTTACCTGGATCTCTGCAACTGTTGGCAGAGAGAGCTTCGAGATACAATGAATATAGGCAAAGACTTTCTTTAAAAGGGTCCAATAGTATAGGAAATAAAAACAAAAACTGACAAATCCAATTACATGAAATTAAAATCTTCTTCACAACAGGGAGATAACTCACCCACTGAAGAGACAGCCTACAGAATGGGAGGAAATACTTGCTAACTATGTATCTGCAGACAATTTAGATCTAGAATATATAAAGAACTCAAAACACTAAACACCAGAACATCTATTGTGGTCTAATGACATACTAGACAGTTCCAAAAAGATGGAGCACCAATAGCCATAAGCATGTGAAAAAAAAAATTAAGATTAGCCTCTTGGGAAATACCAATTAAAACTATGCTGAGCTTCTGTCTCACTCCAGTAAGAGTTCTGTCATTAAGAAAATAAATAATAACAAATGCTTGTGAGGATGTGGAGAAAAGGGAACCCTTATACACTGCTGGTATGCTACAAACTAGTCTAGCCACTATGGAAATCAGCATGGCATTCCTCATAAAATCAAAAATAAACTCTGTGGTCAACTATCCTGCTTCTGGATACCTACTCAAAGGACACTAAGAGAACACATCACAGAGACACCTCTACATCACATTTGTTACAACACTAGTCACCTTAATCAAGGTAGAGATCAGCCTCAGTGTCAATCATCAAACAAATGGATATAGAAATGATCACATATGCACATGATGGAGGTATTTTTAAGACTTGCTTACTTATTTTCTGTGTATATGTATATACTAGAGTGTACATGTGTACCACATGTATGCAGTGATCATGGAGGTCAGAAGAGCTGGAGTTAGTGGTGGCCTTAGATATCCCAGTGTCATTGCTGGAAAGGAAGAGCAGGTCCTCTGTAAAAGCAGCAAGTGCTCTTAACTGCTGAACCATCTCTCCAACCTCCAGAGTATGTTTACTCAGCCATAGAGGAAAATGAAATTATGTTTGCTGGAAAATGGATACAATTGAAGGCCATCATATTAAACAAAATAAGCCAGACTTAGACATGACAAATAACATATTTTTCTATTCTTATGGGTTCCATATGTTACATAGATATGTAATATTTTATTTATATAAATATGAATACATATATATATATATATATGAATGACATAAAAACAGAAAAAAGACTATGGGGGATGGAGAGGAGCTAATAGGAAGTGTAGGGGTGCGGGTTATAAAGGGATAAATGTGATCAAAGTACACTTCAGAAGAAAATATCATTATGGAAGCCATTACTATAAACAATGAATATATGGCAAAAATGAGTTTTAAAACTGCTGGGCTGTATTTTAACTGCCAACTAAAATGCCAAGAGTTCCTTGGCTCTTTGTGGAAAACAAACACAGTGTTTTGGAGGAAAAAAACTAAAAAGTGAAAAAGCTTAAAAATGCAAACACTTTAGAGATAAATTATATAAAACTGGTATAAATTAACTCATGTACACATGATACAAACTTTAGATATAAATGTGCATATCTATACGTGTGTGTGTGTGTGTGTGTGTGTGTGTGTGTGTGTGTGTGTGTGTGTACATATATGCACTAATCAGGGCATCCTCAAATTTGAACAAAGGAACTGGAGACATGGCTCAATAAAAAGAGCAATGGCTGCTTTTATGAGGAACCCAGGTTCAATTCCCATCACCCACGTAGTAACTTACTCTAGTTCCAGGGGATCTAACGCCCTCTTCTGGCCTCTTCAGGTACTGTATACACATGGTACAAGTACATATATTCAGAAAAACATTCATAAACATAAAACAAATAAATTTATAAACAAATAAGTTAGCAAAGTTGAATACAAGATACAGGAAGCAGCCTTTAGGAAGTGTGTGTGTGTGTGTGTGTGTGTGTGTGTGTGTGTGTGTGTGTGTGTGTTGTTGTTG